GTTGTGTTATTGAAGGGGTTCGCGGCGCATGGTGTCGGCAGGGCAGTCCCAAGCATCAATATTTTAAAGGTGTGTATGAACATGCGAGTTTGTGTGTATTTGTGGTTTGTTCGTTTTTTTTTTTTTTAGTTGTTGGTTGTGTTTTTTTTCCACACGCTCAATTTTTGTTGGTAGCGGCGACCGCATTTACTTTGGCTTCTTCCTTCCCTTCCCTCCCCCTTTATCTGTGCATGTATGGATACGGAGAGTGCGCGGCATTGGCACAAGGCACTCTGGAGAAACAGTGACCTTCCCTTCCCTTCCCTTCCCCCCCCCCCTCCCACGTGATACTTGTAGTGAGCGCTTTATACCCCTGTTCGATTTGATTGATTGATTTTTTTTTAAATTTTCCCTGCAAATGTGCGTTTAGACGTGTTACTATTATTAATATTATTATTACTATTTCTACGCTGTGTCTCTTTTGCCCTGCACGTGTGTATATTTGTTTTACTTTTTTTTCTTTTAAGTCTCTTTTTTTTCTCTTTTTGCTGTCCCAACACGTCCCACCTCGTGGGAGACAACCCAAGAGAATGGTTTCCCTTTGGGGAAACGGGGAGGTGGAAAAGAGGCATGGAACAGATGCGAAGTCATCTGTCCTTCATGAGCAGTGTGAGGCAGCCGTAGATGAGGTGCTCGCCTCAGTGAATACAGTGCAGTATCTGATTAAAAGCATGGAGGAAATTACGGGGATACCATTTCAGCGAAATCGCATTAAGTGTGTCTCACTAAATCGAGATGGACACAGCAGGGGTGGCGATGCTACTAGTGACGGCTCTGGGCTTTCAGATGGCAACGTGATGGCGGGGTACATGTGGCGCCGTGCGCGCGAAGACTGTGAACAGGGGGATATTCTGCTTGTTGAAGAGCTCATGGTTGGAAGGGCAAGCAGCGGCAGCACCAATACGCCTGACAAGCGAACAATGGAGACAGTGGAGAGAAACCTGCGCCATGAGCTTATTCACGCCTTTGACGACGCGCGGGGTGTGATTGAGGCCTCCGACTGTATGCATCAGGCTTGTAGTGAAATACGGGCGGCCCGGCTCAGTGGTGATTGCTTTGTCGGTGAGGAACTCAAACGTGGGCGGCTGGATCCTCTGCGTAGCGGTATGCTTTGCGTGAAGCGTCGTGCCATGCTTGCGGTTGAAAAGAATCTTATCTGTCGCGGTTTTTCTGAGCGGGCTGTGGATCGCGTATTTCAGAGGTGCTACTCAGACTATGAACCATTCGCTGCGCCTATTTATGCCATGGGTAGTTATGGCGAGGAACAATTTAAATAGCAATGAGCCTCTGAGGTGGGCTTGGTGCTGAGACATTGTTGTGAGATCGATGCACTGTCCCTCAACAGGCGCAGTTGTACATACTGCATGCATTCACATTATTCTTTATTTTCCCATTTTTTTACTTGTGTTTCTTGCATTTTTTTCTTCTCTCTCTCTTTCTCTGTGTGTAATATTCATACGTGTACTTTTTTTCTTTTCTTATGCACATGCATGCAATCACATATTTTGCATGGCTTTATGTTATTATTATTTTTTTGTCCCGTCTGTCTGTAAACATTGCTGTTAACACGACCTTCATGCAGGGTGGGGAGGTGGAAGCATAATAAGTGATGCGGACTGGTAGTGGCAGAACGCAATTAGTTGCCTCAAAGCGTAAGTCCGAACTGCGCTCCCCTTCCCCCACTCCACGAGAGAATGCGTCGGGAAACAGTGTTCGTTGGGTAACCAGAACTTTGCAGAGGAGGAAAGAGTCCGGGAAACAACGCGGCAAATCGGATTCACGAAAGAGATCGCCGAATGCGAGTGGCAGTGCAAGTGGACAGTGGAAACAAAGGGTCAAAGCAAGCTCCGGCACTGCGGCTGTATCCATCTCACCTGCCCGTGGGGTATCTGCAGGGGCCTACAGGGGTGGGGGAACTGCTGGACGCTCAAAGGGGGTCTCCCGTGTCACAGTGGACATCTCCGTTGCACGCTTACAAAAATGGTTCCGTGTGTTGATTTTGCGCGGCGTCGTAAAACGCAGGGGCCTCTTGAGCGAGCGGATTAGTGATTCTCTCAATGTGCAGCAGTGTCTTTGGGAGCTTAGTGTCCGCAGGGCAAAACGTCTCTTGTCTGAGGCCTTTAACGCATATGCTGTACGCCTTCATGGTGGTATTGAGACGACAAATGATGAAAGTAAGGATGCTGCGGTGAGTTTGGTGAATGCCTTTATGCGGGCAAAAAAGGATGGTCTTTGCCGAACTCAACAGTTGCATAAAATTTGGCAGCATGCGGTAAGGGTTATTGAGAAAGCGTGGATGAACTGCGCCTTGTTTTATTATACTCAACAGCTTGGCGTGGAGTGTAAAAGGCAGCGACTAGTTATTCAACAGGAAGCAATTGAAAGGCGTGATTACATTAGGCAGCGATTGCTATTTCTTGTAGAGTGTCATCAGCATTGCTACAATCATCCTTTGCTGATGCAGGCAGGCGTTGCTGTGCGGAAACTCGAGTGGTGGGAGCATGTTGTAATGGAAAGCTCCATAAACTGTGCCGTTAGGCATTGCCCTGCTGCAGTGTTGAATAGTGAAACTGCAGGAGATGCTTCCACAATTAAGGAGTGTGGAATCTCCACCGTTATGCCACCGTTAGTTCCCCGTACGTCTTCGCTTGGCACTGGGTCGCCATGTTTTGTATATCCTGATGCTTCTCAACGTGTGATTTGGGTCAATGCAGGGAAAGACGAAGGTTCCTCCGTTCCTACGATGCCTGCGCCCTCCGTCACGCATCGTTTCCATGTGCGAGCTGACACCGCCTTTGTGAATGGCCTTTTGCAGGAAATGGGACAGTTGGATTTCCCAACCTCAATGGGTTTGTGCCCACGGGCTTCTGTGCCACCTCAAGATTCTACAGGCAATGTCGTCTCCATTACTTATACGGCGCGTGTACAAAACACCGAACACACTTCCGAGCTTGTGGACAGTAACCTTGTGTGGGTGGGAGGTTTTCTTTTACGCGAGTGTCTGCAACCGCTGCCGCTTTTTAAAGAACTTAGTATGTGGCTTCGCTCCAGAGAAATTACGGAACGACAAAATCAACAGGCGACGACGTCGTCACGTGTCGTCGTTGGCGGTGCTGCTAATACATTGCTCCTTAAGCCTGTGCTGCGGAAAAGGGCCCGAGGAAGGAGTATGGCGTCGGTGGATTTCAGCGTGAGCGTGTCAACGATGGGGAAGGCGTGGGCTGATTTCTACCTCTTTATGGAACTCACTGGGGAAGCATGCGGCTCAGTCTCGTGCAGTACTAGCACCCTTGCTTTCTCCTTGCTACCGCCCTCGACACTCTACCGAAGGAATAAAGGATATTTATCCTCCCAGAGTAGGGGGCGTGTGTCGCTGGAGACCCTCGTAGGGGCAGGGAGGGGGCTAGCGACACCGGTCTCAAGGAAATTGTGCACATCCACGCCAACTTGTGCAGGCGAGGTCTCAAAGACCTTATCTTTAACGAAGGGCCTTGGAAGTGAATTTGACATCAAGTATGAAGTTGAACGTCTGTTTGTGCGTGAGTATCATCGGCGAAAAAAACTGCAGGATGAGTACAATGCCGAGGTGGTTGCGCTGGGGCGGATCATTCATCGAGATCAGGTGACTACGGTGAATGATGGAAAGACCAAGATGACAGACAACAGGCAGCCATTTCAAAAAGACTGGTGCGTCTCACTCTTAGCAGGTGCTACGGAAGGGACGTTGACGCATTGAGGCGGTTTTTGTGTTGGTAGTAATGCATTGCCGGTTATCGCTGCTGCAAAAGATCACTTGCATTAGTGCTGAGGTGTCTGTTTAAATGTAAGTTAGTCGCCCTGCTTACACACGAATGTGTGAGTAGTGTGCATGAAGGTTCTGTAGCCTGAACTAGGTTGGCATGAGTTGTTGTTGTTTTTGTGTTTTTCTTGTTTGCTTGCTTGTTTGCCTTTTGGCGTTGCTGTGTAACCTCTCTCAGCGTCTACTGTTATTGTTATTAATATTATTTGCCCCTTGTTTTTAGGTACTTGTACCCACGCAAAAAGAACTGTGGTTGTGGTGGTGGGTGGGGTGAGGGGAGAGGAGAGGAGAACACCAAGAACCGAGCGAGTGCCCGAGAGGGGTTGCGATGCGTCGTCTGGTGCCCCCACAGCGTGTACTGCTGGCGACGATGTCGTGGCAGCAGCAGCGGCGATGGGAGTTCTGCAGGGACAAGGCAGCCGATGGTGAAGGTGCATCAGCATCAGCGTCCTCGCCGAGACGGAGAAAAATGTCCCCTGCAGCGGCGGAGCTGTCGCGGAGCGAAGACGTCTCCAAGCGTGAGGAGAGGCTTGACATTGAGCGGCACTTTCCCACGGCTATGTCTCACATAAAGGCACCCCTAGTGAGTTCGTACGTGGTGGACGAAGGAAGGAAACGAAAGTGGAAGGAGGCTACATGTGTTGTGAACGCCGACGGCTATGCACCCGCCAAAGAGGACACGGATGCCGCCGCTTCTTTTTTCAACGAGGGCAGTCTGGATATTCGTGGGGGACCACAGAAGCGAGGCACCCGCGAGAGAGTGCCATCACGGAGAGAATCAGCTTCACCGGATGTGCTTCAGCTTTCGGCAGGCAACGCTAGGCAACACGGACTTGCGCTTGCGGAGGAGAGTAACGTCTCCCCTGCCGACCCCACCATTGAGCCGGAGGGTGAGGAGGGGCAAGGTGCCTCCGGTGACACCCCCGTGCAACTCACAGATATGCTAAAGGAGAGGTTAATGGAACTCAAAGCTGAAAAATTGCGCGAGGATCGAAATGACACCTACTTGCCGCGTCGTCTGCGATTGCTGTCCGACCACGAGGTAGAAAAACAGCTTGAAGAGAAGACAACGCAAAGAAAACTTGCTGTGAAAATAAGATCTGCTGCGTCAAACCTCACGTCAACAACCTTGGCGGATTTGGATAATGAAGATATTGGAAGGGGCGAGAAGGGCGTTGACCAGTTGATGAGGGCAGCAGATGCAACAAATAATACTGTAGCTATGGGGACCATTTTTCGAAGGTCAGCCGACTTCATTCCTGGTGAAACCTCATACGACCCGCTTGCAGACTTTGCAAAGGAGTCTCTCAACATTGGCATGGATCGACCGAGCACTTTGAGTGGCTCCGTGCACCTTCTTCGTTGTTTGCCGCGTTCAGGTTTCTGTAGCCGACGGGAGGCACTTGCTATCATTGCCAGCGGCCAAGTGCGTGTAGATAATGTGGTGGAACGCAACCCATTTCGTCTTGTTCGAGCAGAAAACAACATCCATATAGAGTCTCATAGTGGTCGCCTTCGCTTCGCCCCGCCGCGTCTCTGGATGTACCACAAACCAGCCTATGTTATCGTATCTAGAAATGATGTGGCAGGTCGCACTCTCATCACTAAGCATGCCCGTATACTTGGTATGGATCACCTTGTCCCTGTGGGATCACTTCCAATGCGGTCTCATGGATTGCTGCTTCTCACCAATGACGGTGAACTCTCACGCCTTTTGGAGAATCCAAAAACGATGATTCAACAAACGTACCTGCTTCGTGTTCGTCCAGCCATCGATCCGGTGCTGGCGCATAAATTGAACACGGAAGGTATCTTGGTGAATGGGAAACGGCACGGAAACGTGGAGTTTTTTGTTAATCCGGCCATGAAGTCACGGTATTCTTTGAAGGTAAAAGTAAGAGGCGAGACGATGCCAATTTCACACTTAATGCAGCACCTGGGACGAACGGTGGAGCGTGGTGGCCGCATTTCTTTTGGTCCATTCTCAATGAGCGGTCTCCCAGTTGGTTCCATCCGCGAGGTAACGATACCGCCGTACTACATGCGGCATACTGGGGCTGTTTGGAAGGAGTTTATTGAGCGTGACTGGCCCTTTTTTCGTCGACAACGGGTCTCTCGTTTACGCCGTTTAAGCCGCTACCGTGAGCTGACTCCAAAGGAGTTGGAGGAGTTGGACAATTTCACATACGAGGAAATTAAAGATGCCCTGAGTTTTGAATCGCAAGAATTAAAGGCGGCATCTGAAGAACAACTGCAGCGCATGTCCATTCGCCCCACTTTGGATGAACAGCCTTTACAGAACGACTTTGGAGGTGTTGACGTGGATTCTAACTGCGCTCTTCCAGAAGAAGACGAAATCATGGAAGATATTACCGCCGTAATATGAAGTACTAGCTCCTGTTGTTGCTGTGTCCCCCCCCCCTTGTTTTATATGATGGTGTGATTATTCTTATGAGGTGAAAGACCAGCATGCACATGCGTTGGTGAAGGACGGATGCTCAGACGAGATTTGATGAGGACGGTATGCCTCACTGCTTGATGTTATTATTATTAATATTTCCTTGGTTGGTGCGGTTTCCGTGACTATTTCTCTCCCTTTTATGACCCTCAACGGCCACATCAAGCTTTTTATTCCCGAGTGAACTAGGTCATCTTCCATACGCAGACATAAACCTCTACACACAAACAAACATACACAGAGAGAGAGAGAGAGAAAGAGAAACGAGGAAATTATCATATCCAGGAACGAGAGTTTATTTTTGATGCTTGCCGATTTTGAGAGTGTTTTACGCACCAACTTTTCGCTTGATGACTGCCCTCGCATAGGACCCTTTACCTGGCAGAATGTACCAGGCTTGGATGGGTTGAATAAAGAAGATGAGTGGGACACACAGACGCTCAGCTCGTATAGTTTCCTTGGAACTGACTTAAGGTGCAACGACGACTTCAGTGTGATCCCTGCAACTGGTGAAAAGCTAACGGAAGATCCACTTAACACCTTAAATCGCCTTCAAACAGATATGCGCACGTGGAAACTCATGAGGCCTTGTCCGGTCCCGCGCAGTATTCCGAAGATCGATATGAAGAAGGGCACCACAACACTGGGATTTCATTTTGACGGTGGCATAATAATTGCCGTGGATTCCCGCGCGTCTTCGGGACAGTACATATCCTCCCAAACCGTAATGAAAGTACTTGAAATTAATGAGTACCTTTTGGGAACAATGGCGGGCGGGGCGGCTGATTGCCAATATTGGGAACGTGTATTAGGTATGGAGTGTCGTTTGTGGGAACTAAGAAATAACTGCCGCATCTCAGTAGCAGCCGCAAGCAAAATACTGGCAAATATCACGTATTCATACCGCAACCATGGACTCTCCATGGGCACCATGGTGGCGGGCTGGGACCAATTTGGACCCTCTCTGTATTATGTGGACGATAAAGGCACACGTGTGAAGCATGAACTGTTCAGTGTGGGCTCAGGTTCCATCTATGCGTATGGTGTCCTTGACCAGGGTTACCGCAAGGATCTCACTGTTGAGCAAGCATGCGATCTTGCACGTCGTTCCATTTTCCACGCAACTTACAGAGATGGCGCCTCAGGCGGTATTGTTACTGTCTATCATGTCCACCAGGGTGGATGGACGCGTATTTCGCGTGACGATCAGACCAAACTATATGATCTCTATGTGGTGTAGTGCACTAGAAAATGGGTAAAAAAAAACAAAAACAAAAAAAAAGAATGGACGAAACCAAAGTGTTGAAGTAAGACGATTTTCTCCACGAGCCTTGGAAGGCAATCAACATGTTTTTTTTTTGTTTCACTTTGTACCGCACGGACATTTTGACTTTTGGTGGCAAGAAAAAAGAGGTCATACAGAAAAAAATAATAATTATGAATGAAGGGGTATCTCTGTCGACAATCCACATGAGCCCCATCCCCGCCTATTCTCTGCTCTATAGTGTACTTCTAGTATTCCCTTTCCTCTTCATTATTTTTTTTTTTTTTGAACGAACGTAGAACTTGATCCACCGAACGATTCTCCCGACTACTCCTACAACCATGGCCGATAATGGAATGACAAGAGGCGACCGCGCGTGCTACAACTGTGGTCAGCCAGGTCACCTTAGCCGTGAATGCCCCACACGGCAGCCGGGTGGTGCTGGTGGCGATCGCGCATGCTACAATTGCGGTCAGCCAGATCACCTTAGCCGTGAATGCCCCACACGACAGCCGGGTGGTGCTGGTGGCGATCGCGCATGCTACAACTGCGGTCAGCCAGGTCACCTTAGCCGTGACTGTCCTACTCGCTCAACGGGTGGCTTCCGTGGCGCAACGCGTGGTGCATGCTATCACTGCCAGCAGGAGGGTCATCTTGCACGTGACTGTCCCAACGCACCAGGAGGTGGCGATCGCGCATGCTACAACT